CCAGGAGGGGGGTGGGGTGAGGTAGGCAGGCAGCTTGTCCCACCCAATGTGCCCCCGGCCATGCAGGGTTGGGAGGGTTACCCGAGAGGAGAACAGGGGCCAGACGAGCAGACAGATATAAGAAACATGATGGAGAGGGTCAGGGCAGAGCCCTCCGGTGCAGAGCTGGGAGGAGCTGGCGGTAGTGTTCTCAGCCCGAGTGTGTATGTCGCGCGTCTGCCTCATTTGACCGGCTCCCACCTCTCCAGCCCCGTTCTCTTCATCAGTCCGCAGTCTCCTGGGCGAGACCCAAGCCACCAGCACAGCCACGCGCTCCACGCCTTCGCGTGTGCTGATCTTTCTGTGCCTGGAAACTCCTCTTCAGTCTTTACAGCCCAACCCAAGGATATCCCACCCTTGAAGTCGTCCCCCCCCCCCTCTCTCCTCCAGCCCAAACCCCCTCCCTAGGGGTGGGGTCCCTATCTGGCGGTGCACAGGCTGCTGTGTCCTAACGATTGATGGGAAGCTGGCTTCTCTCGCCCACCCTGCGCACAGCCAGGGAGTACGTGCGATTCTGTTACGAACATATAACGCCTCCCAGCGCAGTTCACTAAATGGTTGAACATGAGAAATGCGGTGCATGGTTGGGGATCAGAGGGAGAGAAAGGTGAGGCAAACCGGAAGGGAGGGGGCTTGGAAGTCAAGCAGAGCAACTGAAAATATAACAAGGGAAATAGGGAGCCATTGAAGGTTCTTGAGCCAAAGAAAGGCAGGCGGAAGCTGTGTTTTCAGAGCTTTGAGGGCAGGAAGGTGGGTGGGGGGGGGTAGACATCCTGATTTTCCCCCAGGATGCCCCAGAGGCACCCACCTCACCCCAGTTTCTCTCCACAGTCGTGTCAACTACCTGACCCCCTGGCACTAATCCGTGAAAAGCAGGCCGATGCCCAGGCTGCTGGACCATGCCACCTCAGTTTCCCAGCTGGACAGAGGGGGTACGGTGGCAGCCCCCAACTCCCCAAGCGTTCATCCTCACTGGAAATAAACCTAATGATCCCACAGGGAGGCACCAGGCTCATATCCTGTGTGTGTGTGAGTGTGTGTGTGTGTGTGTGTGTGTGTGTGTGTGTGGCAGGGGCTGGGAGTGGCCAGGACCTGCAGATGACAATATCTTACCCTTTCCTGCCCCTACCGACTCCTGCAGGACTAGTGGGGCAGGAGGAAAAGTCTGGCGACCCCGGGAAAGAATCAGGATCTAAGCCCCGAGGCCCAGCTGGGTGTGAGATGCAGAAACAGGTTGAGAATTGGGGTTTCCTTGTGTCCTGTCCCCTACTTATAGCCCCACAAGCAAGTCCCCTCCACCTTGGACTGTGAACTTGAGCCCTAAAGAGAAAAGAAGAGGTTCAAAGGGGATTTTTAGACACCATACCAGTGTGCCGGGAGTCGGGAGAGGGGT